TGTGCACCCATGCTGCCTTCTGGAGCTCCGCCCACCCGCCAATGAGGAGAAACGTCCCCCCTCCCATCCACCGCACGAGGATCTCAACCTGGCTGGGAAGGTGGAATTTAACGTCAGAGGCAGCTTGAGTCGTTCGCACCCGGTCTTGCCCGTCTCCGCCCGCGAGACGCGGCCTGTACTGTCCTGGTCGGACCCGGCCCGCACAGTCCTGGTGAGAGGCAGCCTGCACAGCCCTGGTGAGACCTGGTCCCAGCCTGCAGAGCATTGATGAGGCGCGGCCTGCACACCCCGGGTGAGACCCCACGGAGCCCTGGTGAGACCCCACAGAGCCCTGGTGAGACCCCACAGAGCCATTATGAGCCTGAGTGGGGCCTCATGTTTAGGTTTCGCCTAAGGCCTCGCAAACTCTAGATCTGCCTCTGGCTGAGGAGAACACTTATTTATTTCTTGCACAATGAAGCAGAACCGTCTATGATACGTTCATCATACCTGTTCCCAGAGCGGGGAAGGTGACAGAAGAGACCTTTTGCTTCTCACATGCCTGCAGGACATCAAGGACAATTTTCTTGATGCATGCTGGTTGTTTTGGTCCTGTCACATGGACAATCCATTTACACTGTCTGAGGTCTCCAGACCTAGTGAAGATGTATCCCTTATGAGGCTGGGTACCTGTCAGAAATGGAAACAAAATGTGGCTGGTAATGTAGCTATTACGGCACCAGTTTCAGGGTATACACCCCACAATGATTGTCAATATGTCTCTTCACCATACGAGGGCAAATTCTACAGGTCAGGAACCGTTTTCCTAAAGGGACATTCTTCTGTAGACAATGAGGTGCACATTGTGGAGAGAAAGGACAACTGGATCACAAGAGGTGTAAAAGAAGTAAGCTACGCCAAACTAGAACAACCATCCCTGAACAGTGGTAGGGGCCTTCAACCCCATCTGTCAGCCATATATAATGTAGGTGTAACATCTCTTCCCTGGGCATGTGACAACAATTTACAACTTCAACCATGGAATTTAGGGGTTAACACCTGTGCAGACCTCCTGACCCCTAGAATGGGATTATGTAAGTAGAACCACAACATTCACCCCTCCTATCCTGTTCTTGGACAGTCAACATTTACACATTCCATGGTGATTGGATGAAGGTGTCCGCTCTACCTGTGTGGATATAAATGCCCGGGTATGTTCATGACACTCATTAGAACTGAAGAAGTGGCTTTGGGTGATTTAAGAAACATCTTCAACATTACAGAACAAGTCCAGTTGTTGAGTAACTGCTACTCGCGGTTCCATGACCTGGACACATGAGAACCTTCACAGACATATAACGATATCGGGGAGGGCGTGAATAGTCGAGTTTCCGTGTTTGCTGAGGATACCAAAAGGTAATAGACACAGACTTAGACAATATAACATTACAGGAGGACCTGGATAAAATAGGGGGAGGGGCAACTGTATGACAGATTAGGTTCAATGTTGATAAATGTAAAGTAATGCACTTTGGGGCTAAAAACAGGCAAGAGGAATACACATTAATGTGGACTCCACTAGGGAAGTCAGAAATGGAAAAGGATCTGTAGATCACAGGTTGAACAATAGCTTGCAATGCCAGGCTGCGGCACACAATGCCAGGCTGCGGCACACAATGTCAGGCTGCGGCACACAATGCCAGGCTGCGGCACACAATGTCAGGCTGCGGCACACAATGCCAGGCTGCGGCACACAATGTCAGGCTGCGGCACACAATGCCAGGCTGCGGCACACAATGTCAGGCTGCGGCACACAATGCCAGGCTGCGGCACACAATGTCAGGCTGCGGCACACAATGCCAGGCTGCGGCACACAATGTCAGGCTGCGGCACACAATGCCAGGCTGCGGCACACAATGTCAGGCTGCGGCACACAATGCCAGGCTGCGGCACACAATGTCAGGCTGCGGCACACAATGCCAGGCTGCGGCACACAATGTCAGGCTGCGGCACACAATGCCAGGCTGCGGCACACAATGTCAGGCTGCGGCACACAATGCCAGGCTGCGGCACACAATGTCAGGCTGCGGCACACAATGCCAGGCTGCGGCACACAATGTCAGGCTGCGGCACACAATGCCAGGCTGCGGCACACAATGTCAGGCTGCGGCACACAATGCCAGGCTGCGGCACACAATGTCAGGCTGCGGCACACAATGCCAGGCTGCGGCACACAATGTCAGGCTGCGGCACACAATGCCAGGCTGCGGCACACAATGTCAGGCTGCGGCACACAATGCCAGGCTGCGGCACACAATGTCAGGCTGCGGCACACAATGCCAGGCTGCGGCACACAATGTCAGGCTGCGGCACACAATGCCAGGCTGCGGCACACAATGTCAGGCTGCGGCACACAATGCCAGGCTGCGGCACACAATGTCAGGCTGCGGCACACAATGCCAGGCTGCGGCACACAATGTCAGGCTGCGGCACACAATGCCAGGCTGCGGCACACAATGTCAGGCTGCGGCACACAATGCCAGGCTGCGGCACACAATGTCAGGCTGCGGCACACAATGCCAGGCTGCGGCACACAATGTCAGGCTGCGGCACACAATGCCAGGCTGCGGCACACAATGTCAGGCTGCGGCACACAATGCCAGGCTGCGGCACACAATGTCAGGCTGCGGCACACAATGCCAGGCTGCGGCACACAATGTCAGGCTGCGGCACACAATGCCAGGCTGCGGCACACAATGTCAGGCTGCGGCACACAATGCCAGGCTGCGGCACACAATGTCAGGCTGCGGCACACAATGCCAGGCTGCGGCACACAATGTCAGGCTGCGGCACACAATGCCAGGCTGCGGCACACAATGTCAGGCTGCGGCACACAATGCCAGGCTGCGGCACACAATGTCAGGCTGCGGCACACAATGCCAGGCTGCGGCACACAATGTCAGGCTGCGGCACACAATGCCAGGCTGCGGCACACAATGTCAGGCTGCGGCACACAATGCCAGGCTGCGGCACACAATGTCAGGCTGCGGCACACAATGCCAGGCTGCGGCACACAATGTCAGGCTGCGGCACACAATGCCAGGCTGCGGCACACAATGTCAGGCTGCGGCACACAATGCCAGGCTGCGGCACACAATGTCAGGCTGCGGCACACAATGCCAGGCTGCGGCACACAATGTCAGGCTGCGGCACACAATGCCAGGCTGCGGCACACAATGTCAGGCTGCGGCACACAATGCCAGGCTGCGGCACACAATGTCAGGCTGCGGCACACAATGCCAGGCTGCGGCACACAAAGCGAGCAGAGTTCTGTCATGTATTATAAGGGAATGTTCTGTAGAGACAAATCTATAATTTTGCCACTTTATAGATCGCTGGTTCGGCCACATCTGGAGTATGTGGTCCAGTTTTGGTCACCAATCCACAGAAAGGACGTCCTGGAGCTGGAGAGAGTCCAGAGGAGGGCAATTAAACTCATTAAGGGGATGGAGGACCAAAGCTATGATACAAGGTTACAAAACTTAAACATGTTCACGCTGGAGGTGAAGAGATTAAGGGGGGGACATGATTCTGATATACAAGATGTTCAATGGTGATGGCAACATCAGCAATAAACTTTTTACGGTAAACTCCATAACAAAGACTAGAGACCACCACCTAAAACTGGCGGAGAAAAGATTTAAAGGAGAACTATGGGGTTAAGACTTTTCCCCATAGTTCTCCTTAGGGTAACGGGAGGACACTATAGTTCTCCTTTAACCACAAGGGGTGGAGGGGCTTCTTCTCAGTGAGAGCGGTGAGGGTCTGGAACTCGCTGCCACAAGCAGTGGTATCAGCTGAGAGCGTTGAATCATTCAAAATGCATTTGGACAATTTCCTCAGAGACCGTAACATACAGGGGGAACAGGTACCCTTAAAAAATAAGATCACACAGGGACTCATACACGCGCATACACATGCAGAATCACATGCATACACGCAATAGGTTGAACTTGATGGACCTGTGTCTTTACTCAACCTCAAATACTATGTAACTATGTATAAAACTCTACATATAATGGCCTTTGCTGGCAGATGCTGAATATCCAGGCCCGGATTTTCCACAAGGCCACTGAGGCCCGGCCTCGGGGCGGCAGAGCGCAGAGGGGCGGCAGCGGTTTACTTGTCTGCTACGTTCTGTTGGTGCGTTGTCTGTTCTTGTACACACGTAAAACATATTTGACTAAAGCAAAAAACAAAACAGAAGCAAGGACGGTGCGGTGCAGATCTTTACCCAGTGCCGCAGCAGATGATGCAACAGCCAATCCAGCGGCTTCCAGAATCACTTTAGAAACTCCTACAAGGAAAAAGATCAACTTCAATAATAAGCTCACAAAGCCGTGATACATGGATTCTATATTATTTCAGCCATGTGACTGTAATGTTCAAATCTCATTGGACGCAACTAAAAATAACTGTCACTTTATAGAAAATAAGAATCCCTATCCTGAGGAGATTACTTTGTGAGTTGAGCCCGAAGCCAACTCATCAGAACTCATCAACTTATCTACAATCCTTGTGTCCATAACCCATACAAATCCCTTTACAGCCGAACACCTCTATACGCGTCCTCCAGATACAACCCCTCATCCCGCACGTGGCCTCCCCCTCACCTCCAGTCACTTCTTCTGAGCCCGAAGCCCCCTTCCTTTTCCCCCGTGACCCAGAACCTCATGGATTCCCTTCCATACTACGATCCCCTCTGCTGCCTTCAAGTAAATGCTTCACAACACTCCCCTCCCCAGACACGGCTGTAGCTCTGCTATGTATTTAAGTTTTGTTATGTTATACCATCCCCCCAAAAAATGACTGCACGCCGCTAGTTCACCAGACATGTAAAATATTCCACCCAACAGCCAGCGTGGTACGCTCCACCCCTAACGCGTTTCACCCTTATGGGCTTAGTCGTAGAGAGAATTGCTTGTTACTCTATACTCATTATAGGATGACCCTATGCGTTGTATTATTTGTACTGCCCGCCCTTGTTGTATCTATGACTTCGTACA